CTGCATTAGTTGATGAATTGTGTAATGGCATTTCATTGTTGTCGTTTTTTTTTTTTTTTTTTTTTTTTTTTTTGTTGGCTGGTGAGGCATTTTTAATGAACAACAAGCTTACCTCTTCATCCTGGCTCATGATTTAAGTATTCCTGGCTCATCATTTAAGCATTGTTAAATCTGCAGTTGTTGATGAATTGTGTAATGGCATTTCATTGTTGTCGTTGATTGTTTTTTTTTTGGTTGTTTGCTGATAATTGTTATACTATGTCTTGCCTGTTTGTGTTAGTATGCCAGGGCTTTTGCCAGGGCTTCTGGTCCATACTCAAGTTTGGAACAATGAATATATCTGTTAAGTTAAGGTGAAATTTTATGTTTACTCAAGTTTGGAACAATGAATATAGAAGTTAAGTTAAGGTGAAATTTAAGGTGAAGTTAAGTTAAGTTAAAAGTTAAGGTGAAGTTCAGTAAGCTCCTTGCAGTGGTGATATCTGCAGTTGCAGTTGTTGAGCCTTATAATCTAACATTAAGTGTATGAGTTCGAAGATCAAAACAAGCAATCAATATCGTGTGTAAAACTCATAACAAAGATCAGGCAAAAGGGAAATGCTAGTAATATAGCTTTAGAAATTTGTTTACTTCAATTTGTTCTTCCTTGGCCGAGCTTTAGAAAACATTTCAGTTCGAAGATCAAAACAAGCAATCAATTGAAAATCCAACTCTTTAGTAACTATAAAATGTAAAACTCCATTAACAAGCACACCATGGAGATCTTTATAGAAGTAGATAATATGGTATACCTTGCACACATTTCCATGAATTGCTGTGGTATACCTTGCACACATTTCCATGAATTTTCTTACCCCACCCCACCCCCTTAATTCAGGCTATATACTTTCGCTTCGTTAATGAAAATCCTGTCATTTTTATGCTTTTGAACCATCCAAAGTATCTTATAATCGTCATTTTCTCCGTCGTACCCGAACCCAAACCACACAAAACTAACAATGTAGTCCGCAGAAACTTCAGCTTTCGATGAGACTTAGTAAGAGGATTGAACAGGACAACACCATTTTTCGAAACATCGGAGAGGCAAACAACGCCATTACAGGAGCCAAACAAGTTGAGTTTATGGGGTTTCAAAGGGTGTGGAGACTTATTTGGCTCCTGTTATGGCGTTTTTTTCGAAATCCTCTTACTAAGTCTCGTTGTAAGCTGAAGTTTCTGCGGACTACATTGTTAGTTTTGTGTGGTTTGGGTTTGGGTACGACGGAGAAAATGACGATTATAAGATACTTTGGATGGTTCAAAAGCATAAAAATGACAGGATTTTCATTAACGAAGCGAAAGTATATAGCCTGAACAACAATTCATGGAATGCCAAAATTTCGGCCTCCAAGAAAGTATCCACTGAGGAGTCGCCTGCCAAAGCTGTTAATACTTATTAGAGAAGCTTCTTTATTTGACTTTTGATGTGGTCTTTCCAATCGAAGCTCATCCGTGTTCCGATCTTGCTCAAATTTTAACAACTTGTATGCTACATCAAGGGCTTCATCTTCACCGTAAATACCGTAAAGTATCCACTGAGGAGTCGCCTGCCAAAGCTGTTAATACTTGTTTATGCTTGTTGCTCAATCTCAAGCTCTAGAAATACAGTGTTGTACGTCGGTACTAGAAGAAGCGTCTCTTGCACACTACTTTGATCTATTTTTGTGAAGCTTCTTGGGGAAGATTCTGTTAGAGTCCCGCCACTAGAGTATCCATCACGCACAAAGTTAAATTTGATTCTTTAGGTAGGTTTACCAGTGAAATACAAGATAGATTATACAAGTTAAATCCTCCATTGAGATACAAGATAGATTATATACAAGGTAATGTAAAACTAAATTATGTAAAACTAAAAATTCTCCATTGAGATTACAAGATAGATTATATACAAGGTAATGTAAAACTAAATTCTCAATTTATACTCAATTTATGTCAGGTTTTTAGGGTTCTTCAATAAGGTTAGATTTTAATTGTCAGACTGTATATAGCTTGGTGGTGGGAAGGCTGGGTTAACTTGTACAAGTGAGAGTACAAGTTATCATAGTCTTGTTTATAGTGATATAGCTTTCAGTTATCACAGTGTCTAATTGATCTAATAAATGCACAAAGTATAGGTTTTGGTACCAAGAAGGCTTGAAGTAGGTTGTAATAACGATTTAGTTTTTATAAATTAGCATCAATGATCCTATCATTGTACAAATGCTGTTGCACCGTGATGATTTTTGTTGGGATTTAATCTTTATTATTAGATCCAATATGCTTTAATATATATATGTTTAATCTTTATTATTGAACAATACCCAACGGTTTTTGTATGATTGTTTGGCCTCTTAAAATGTATATTAAAGTGGAACAATACCCAGCACACAGTAGTGCAAAAAAATGTATGGGCCTCGAATTTGGTTTTAAAAGGCCAAATTTAGAGTTTCGTGGTCGAATTTGACCATAAAAACCGTCGTGCGTGGTGCCGGTGGATGGAGACGGAGAAACGAGATGGAAGAAAGGAGAACATAGCCGGAAGAAGGGAGAAGAAGGAAGAAGAAGAAAGGAAGAAGGAAGAGGAGATGAGAGAGAAAACGAGAGAGCAGTGAGCATATTAGCAGCCATGGCTTCAAAAAATTGATAATATTACAGAAGAGGATTAAGAAAACGAGAGAGAAATCAAAAAGAGTACTAAAGAGACGATGGTAAGAGTGATGTGATTGGTGGAAAAGAAAACACACGGATCGTGAATTGGAATGTGTGCGATGATAGGCCATTAGATGACATGCAAATCAATGGCTGATATTTAATATAATACGGTGACACGGATCATGGGATAATGGATTTGGATAGTATGTTTTTTTTTTATTCATAGCTACGTACTAATAAAAACACTACTGTACTCTTAACTTTATGTAACTTATAAATTGTAAGAAACACAAATGTTTGGAAATTGGAATTGATTCAATATGACATATTTAATGTATATTAGTTATATGTATATCAGTATATGTAATAAATAATAATGTATGGTACGATTGGTATCATTGGTATGTATAGATAATCGATAAATGTATCTGATTATTAAAACTTAAAACAGTTGATGATCGATCTAATTGAATACTTCTACTTCCCCACCCGTTTTCTTTAACTTGCAAGTTGCAACATATATATGTTGCAGCCTTGTAGGCACGTAATCTTAAAAGGTGATTAGAGAGGGTAAGACAACAAAGTAATTCAGCAATATAACTTTAACACCAAAATTATGGAATAGTTACAAACAATTGTCAATTATTACTTTATTAGACTAATGGGAAATTGAATAATCGTGATTTTAATTAAACATCCAAATATAGTTCCGTAACATTAAATTATTAGTTTATTACAATATCAATTATCGATTTATCGCATTCAAAGTACCAATTCATCAAATCATGGTTATGACGCGATCTTTAAAACAATTAAAACAAGAAGCTGATAGCCTGATAATATTTGATAATGAAACAATAATACATTAATACCTTATAAATTTGTAATAGACTAATATTTAATAAACAACAACAAGACTATAACCAAATTTGAAACATAACACATTAACATGATATAGAATGAATGAGAATTTCTGTAATTCTATATAATCTGATATCTGAATCGATTTATCGTATTCAAAGTAGCAACTCATCAAAACATGGTCATGACACGATATCTAAAACAATCCAACAAGAAGCTGATAACCTAATAATATATATTTAATAATGAAACAATAATACATTAATACATTATAAATTTGTAATAGACTAATATGATAATATCGAATAAACAACAACAAGAGTATAACCAAACTTGAAACATAACATATTAACATGATATAGAATAATTGAATAAATGAAGATTTGTGTAATTGTATATAATCTAATGTCTGAAAATAAAGTGACGAAGTCCCAACTTTATATAAAACGAAAATAGCTAACCGGTCAAAAATCTCTTAAAACCCAATTTCTACTCGATCCATTATTTTTTTTCACTAACCTATGCCGACCCGCTAATGAAATGGAAATACTAGTCCCAACTTGATATAAAACAAAACGCGCTAACTGGTCAAAACCACTTTTTAGAACTCGATTTCAACACGATCCAATTTAACCGATTACCAAACTAACCCGAACGATTTTAGCACCAAACCGAGTATAAACCGAACCGATATGAATCAAACTAGCATACAACCCGTGTAAACCCGCCCCTGAACCGACCCATTTCAAAATAATCCGTTCATGACCAGAACCGATATGAACCCGGACCGACGTTGACCCGGTAAAACCGCCTCTGAACCGATCCGTTTCAAACCGGTCAGATCATGACCCGAACCGTTTATAAACCGAACAGGCATTGACCCGGGTAAACCCGCCCCTGAACCGACCTGTTTCAAACCGACCCGATTATTAACCGAACCGTTTAAAAACCGAACCGGCATTGACCCGAGTAAATCCGCCCCTGAAGTGACCCGTTTCTAACCGATCTGATTATGACCCGAACTGTTTATAAACCGAACCGTTTATGACCCGAACCAAATTTAAATCGTACAAAAATAAACCGAAACCGAACCGACCTGTGACTAATCAAAACCGAACTGAACCGACCCGCCGTCTAAATGAAACCGTTTTAACCCGAACCGTTTCAAACCGAAACCGTTTCAAACTGAGGTCAAACCGAACTGCAAGACCGAAGTCCCACCCCTATAATGATTAGTGTTTGTTAACAGTTTTTTTGAGACACATACATTGTAATACATTTGATAATAGAGAATTTTATTGAAAATATTTGAATAAGCTTAAATAGGAAAATAACTCATAGAATTAGAGAAAAAAAATGTAATAGGGTTAGTAATAGGTCGGGTTAAATTCGGGTCGGGTTAGTAATAGGTCAAGTTAAATTCGGGTCGGGTTAGGAATAGGTCGGGTTAAATTGGGATTTTGACGGGTTAAAACGGGTTTGGGTCAATAACGGTTCAGGTCGGGTTCGGTTCAAGTCAATATTTTACGAGTTATATTTTACGAGTTATATTCGGGTTCATGTTTGGGTTTGGATCTCAAACACTCGGGTTAACTCGGATCTAGGGTTGGTTTCAACTTTATTTATAAACCCAATAACCGTACTCACAAAAAAAATACCCAATAACCATACCCAACCGTACCCGGCAGGAAATAAAGTTGATTAAGTTGATTTGATGATTCAATGCATGTCATAGCTTCAGTCTGCAAAGCCTACCTTCAATAACTCCTCTGTCGGTCATTTTTCTTCAAAGCCTACCTGCAAAATTTCATTGTTTTGAGGCAAATTTTTTACTTTTGGCCAAAAGATTTGATTTGATACCATACCAAAATGCCTGCTGACAGCAAATTTATAAGCACTTTAAGTGGGAAAAGGAGGAGAGAACACGAAGACGAAGAGGTCACATTAATGGTAATTTTTGAAAGTTTTTGTTATTGATTGGTTGTTGTTGAATTTTTGTAATCTGCATTTTTGTTTATGAATTGTGTAATGGCATTTCATTGTTGTCGTTGATTTTTTTTTTTTTGTTTTTTTGGCTGGTGATAATTTGGAGGTTTGGTATGTTGGTTGTTTGCTGATAATTGTTATACTATGTCTTGCCTGTTTGTGTTGCTGATAATTGTATTGTTTTTTTTTTTTTTTTTTTTTTTTTTTTTTTTTTTTTGTTTTTTTGGCTGGTGATAATTTGGAGGTTTGGTATGTTGGTTGTTTGCTGATAATTGTTATACTATGTCTTGCCTGTTTGTGTTGCTGAACACTGGAACAATAAGTACAAAGATTTGGAACATTACGTAAATAAGTATGGAACAGTAAGTGCTCAAGTTTGGAACAATGAATATAGGATCATTTTTGATAATGATCAGTAAGAGTTAAGTTAGGCGTAATTAGTGTTGAAGTTAGGATCATTTTTGATAATGATCAGTAAGAGCTTCATCCTGTAGGGCTTCTGGTTTCATCAAGCTCTGCCATGAAAGCTTGCACAATTAGGAACAATGATAGAACACTGGAACAATAAGTACAAAGATTTGGAACATTACGTATATAAGTATGGAACAGTAAGTATGAGGTTTGGAACAATGAATATAGGATCATTTTTGATAATGATCAGTAAGAGTTAAGTTAGGCGTAATTAGTGTTGAAGTTAGGATCATTTTTGATAATGATCAGTAAGAGTTAACAACTTAATGTTCCAAAAGTATAAACCTATTGTTCCAAACTCATACTTAATGTTCCAAAAGTATAAACCTATGTTCCAAAAGTATAAACCTATTGTTTGTTCCAAATTCATACTTAATGTTCCAAAAGTATTAAAATTTGATGAAAGAGACAAACAAATATGAGATTCGATTATAATTTGATGAAAGAGACAATTAGCTATTCTGCAGTTGTTGTTTCGTATTGTTAATGGTTGTTATTGACAGGGCTTTAGGTTTTATCAAAATCTGAGGATGTCACAAACTGGCACAATTAGGAACAATGAATAGAACACTTCCATGAAAGCTGGCACAATTAAGAACAATGAATAGAACACTGGAACATTAAGCATATAAGTCTGGAACAATAATTACTCAAGTTTGGAACAATGAACATAGAAGTTAAGTTAAGGTGAAATTTAAGGAGTGAAATTTTATGTTCTTATTGATTGGCAGTGGTGATTGTAGTTGTTAATATTGTTCTATTGTTCTATGATAATCTGCAGTTATTGATAATTGACAATCTGCAGTTGCAGTTGTTGAATTTGGAGGTTTGGTATTGGCAGGGATTTTTGGTTTGGTCAGTTAGTGTTGATTGGTATGGGATTTTTGGTTTGGTCAGTTTGAATGATTTTGTTCCTCTCTTTCTAGCTACGCCCAGCACAAAGACGAATACGAAAACCAAGACGAAGTGCTTCAACCGGTGACCTTTTAAAGTAAGTTTGGAATAATTCCTAAATGAGTCCATATTTTAATAAATGAGTGTTTCAACCGGTGACCTTTTAAAAGTAAGTTTGGAATAATTCCTGGTGTAGATGGCTTGGGATGATGCTTGGGACGAAGCCTTTGTGAGTCTCCTCGATAAAACATGTACAAGTTGGGCTGAGGATGGAAGTAGTAGCAAATATCTGTGGAGTGACAGATTCTGGAAAAATTTCGCCTTAAAGTTGTTAAGTTAGGTTAAACTTTATTATTGTTAATGTGTAAAACCAATAATAAAGAATCACAAGGGTATTAATCTTCAAACCACAACTCATACATTTAATATTCCTAAATTGAAGGAGAAGGAATTGATTGAGAGTTGTGAAAGGGTGGAGGTGATGAAGAGGGAAATTCAGGAAAGGTGTGGAGCATTGGAAGTGAAGGAGAGCGAATTCGAGGTGCGTCGAGGAAAGCTAGAGTCGAGAGAGAAGGATGTTGACGAGTGTTATTGGGCAGTGACCAGGAAAGAGAAGGAAGTGAATGAGGATGCTCGAGCATTGAAGCTGAAAGAAAAGGAAATGAGTGGGAGTGCTCGAGCATTGGAGACGAAGGAGAAGGAAATTGATGAGAGATGTAAAGGAATGGAGTTGAAAGAAAAGGAAATGAATGACAGGTTTCGACAACTGGAGCTGCAAGAAAAACTAGTTACTGAGAGTCGAAAAGGGTTGGAGTTGATAGAGAAGGAAGTTGATGAACGTTTCCGAGCAGTAGAATTGAAAGAAAAGGAACTGAGTGAAGGTGTTCGAGTGCTGGAAATGAAATTGACGCAGACAGATGAGAGCCATAAAGGCCTGGAGTTGGAAGAGCAGGAGCTCGATGAGCGGACTCGAGCTTTAGAATTGAAGGAAAAGGAAATGAGTGAAGGTATACTAGCTCTGGAGTTGAGTAAGCAGCAATTGAAGAAGCATCGTGTATGTCTGGAATTAAAAGAGAAAGAAGTTCATGAATACTTGAAGGTAGTGAAATCGGGAGAGAAGCAAATGAATGATAGTGTTGAAGCTCTAGAACAGAAAGTAAAGCAAATAGAGGATTGTTGCAAGGGGATTGAGCTGAAACATCGCCAAGCAGCAGAAGTCAGAGAGAAGCAGTTGTATGAAAATCTTGAAGTTCTAGAAATGAAAGCGAAGGAAATAGAGGAATGCTTTAGAGTGATGAAGCTGGAGAAGAAGAAAATGAAAGAGTATTCACAAGGGGTGGATGCAAAAGAGAAGCAGATGCATTGCCGTAGAAGTGCATTGGATTTAAGGGAGCAGTCAATCAATGAGCGTTGCCAAACTCAGGATTCCAAAGAGAAGCAAATTAATGAGCAGTGTCAGGCTTTGGAGTTGAATGCGAAATTCATTGATGAGCGTTGCCAAAGTTTGGAGTTGCAAGAGAAGCACATAGATGAGCGCTACCAAAGTTTAGAGTTGAAAGAGAAGCAGATCAATGAGGTTTGCAGGGCAATTGAGCTGAAAGAGAAGCAACTGAATGAGGGCCTTCAAGCTCTGGAATCGAGAGAGAAGCAACTGAATGACGGCCTTCAAGCTCTTGAACTGAGAGAGAAGCACATTGATGAGTGTTACCAAAAATTAATATACTGGTTTATCACCCTTCTCTCTTTATTATCATGTTATCTTCTGTAGCATGGAAGTACCTTCAAATCTCCAATTAAATTAGTAGTTAAGACAAGTGTATCTGACTAGTGAACTTAGCTGAAGGGGCTAATGCAGGGGAATTTCTAACTCTAGGATCTATGATTCTTTGTCTTCCTTATCATTAGTGTGTTTCGTATGTTATGTAAAAAAAAAAAAAAAAGGTGTGTTTTTGTTTTGATATGAGCTGCTTTCCTTTTTTGTGCTTTGACCCTAGCTGGTTTATTAATTTTTTTCCTGCGTATCTGGAATAAAGTTATCTCATATTGACTTTGTCTTGGGTTATTTGACTGGAGATCAAATTCTTTTGTTCATTATACAGATCTTGTCCAATCTCTTGTTTTGAGAGATAAACAGCTGGAAGCATTGAGGTATGTATGTGCACATAATATAGAAGATGATTTCCCAATAGCTCCACTATTGAGAACCCATATAGCGAACATCAACACAAGAGTTAAGAAGATACTCAACAGTGGCAGCAGAACAGCTCAGGTATATTTATAATTTAATAAATAAACTTTAGGTGTTCTTTTATTTACTCATGCAAAACTTGGAACAACTCACTAATAGATTTATGCTATACATGCTGTGTGTCTAGTAGGTTTTCTTTATTGAAATCCAGCAGGTTGTGGTATAATATTTTTCATGATCTCATTGATTTAGACATAATTTAGGTGTGTGTTCCTCAAGTCATGTTTGGTATAACAGGGTAGATTTTTACTATGTGCTTTTTAGAGAGCTTGTACTATGCCATTTTGTTCCTGATACAGATTTCCTTTTGTACTGCATTTGTGCAGCAATGGGTTGCTTAAATCCAGCCGTATAATTTAATGTTACCCTGATCGAATGGCTTACTCTTTGACTACTACTCTATTTATTTAATGTACAGCTATTCACTTTGCTTAATTTTCCGAGGCCTTGAGATTCAGTGAAGGGCCTGCTTATCTAAATGTCTGGAGACTTATGTCTGAAGGAGTGTAAAATATTGATAAATCAAATTTCCAGTTTCTTTTATTCAGTTTGCCATTCCCTTGGTGCTTCTCTTTTCATGATTTGAACTCTTTTGCAGGATGATGCTTCTGATACAGAATTAACTGCCCTCAAAGAAGTTAACTGTATTTCCTTCTTCAAGCTCAATTCCCATTATTCCCCGGATTCCCTTGAATTGCGCATTAAACAGTTGGAAGAGGAAAGGATAAAAGTAAAGACCAATGCACGTTCGTTTACAATAAAGAAGTGTTCCATATGATACAAGAACAGGTGGGTTAGTTTCTGGAAGCCACTTTGTTGGCATGCCTACATTGGTTTATAACGGTAAGGCAATCATCTATATTACAGCTCTCACCTGCAATTTTGTTTCAGTGCTAGACCTCTTACCATTTCTATGATTTACTATGTATTCACAGCTAGGAGTCAAACTCAGAGAACAGCACGAGACAGTGATTCCATTGCAGTGCAGGCAAATTTTTGTGGGAGATAAGTTGAGCAGATGATTATTTTGTTCGTAAAAACCTGATCTTGCTAACCGTCAGCTAACTAGCTACAAAGTATTTCGAATGTCTAGTCGTGCCAGATTATTGACCTTTTGAAGAGACCAGATGTGTACAAATTTAGGTAACGTTACAACCTGATGTGAATGCTAAGTGTGTATATCAAGTTCATACGTAGGCAGTACTTGAAATTTCTGAAGTCTGATGAGTTGGTATCTGTATATATTCCTCGTGAACAGAAGGCAACATGTGGTGTAAATCCTTCATTATTTTTTTTCTTGCTCGGTACGAACATTATTTTTGTAATTATTTTTAACAGGCCAGGTATGAAGGATTGTCAAAAGTTGATTAACATTCACTGGTAAGTGGTAAAATTTGTTGCAAGTTCCCTCCATTCCTAAATAGTAATTGTTTACACGCAGCTTCCGGGAGCTCCCTTCGTTCACCTGGTAATGCAACTTTCCCCCTTCCCACAATGAAAGATAGAAGGAAGAAATCCTACTAGCCTACTAGGTTAGTTGTCCTTTTCAACGAACATGTTCTTAGATTTTCTTTTGTCCTGCTGAGCAACATCATTGTAGCAAACTACCAACACAACCTAGCAGCAAAATAGTTGGTTAACCTTCTATGTTTAAACAGCATGTGTGCGCCCTTCGTCGATATTCTTGCTGCAGTAATATGACTTTACTGGACTGCCAGATATGAGATACATTTTTGCTTTGTTCTAGATTTTGATGAGTCGTGTACTTGTGTTCATGTTTTATTTAACTTCCTTCATTTCTTATTTCTTGCAACATTTGTCATTTTTGGTTGCTTCACATTACTTGCAACAAACTTTTTTTTCCTTATTTGAAAACTTTTTTCTGTCAAAATGACCAATATACTCTTATTTAAAAATTTTAAACACATAATATTACACATAATTACAACCTATTATTACACTAATCTAAATTAATTATCTATGAAATCCCACCCAAATAATTAGGCCCATTACCTTTCTCTCTCCTTCATCTCTCATTTCATCATCTCTCATAGTCAAATTCCAAACCAACTTTTAGTGGGTTTATGATGTGGTTGTTGGTGAGTTTGGTGGTTTGTCGGTGATTTTAGTGGTGTCGTGGGTGGTTCTGGTGGGTCGTTGGTGGGTTTTTGTGGTTTCGATGGTTTTGGTGGCTTCGGTGGTTTTGGTGGTTTTTGGTTTCGCATGGGTGGAGGAGGGGTTTTCGTGGGTTTGGTGGCGTCGGTCTGGGTGGTTTTGGTGGTTTCGTGGGTCTTGATCTGGTGGTTTTGGTGGTGTTGTGGTGTCGGTGGGTCTAGATCTGGTAGTGTCGGTGGTTTCGTAGGGTTGGAGGAGGGGTTTTGGTGGTTTCGTGGGTTTGTTGGTGTGGGTCTAGGTGGTGTTTGTGGGTGGCCTGGGTTCTAGATCTGGGTGGTTTCGGGTAGAAGTGGTTTCTTTGGGTGGTTTCGGGTGGTTCTGGGTGGTCTCGTTGGGTGGTTCTGGGTGGTAGTTGTTCGTTGGTGGTGGTTCTGGGTGTCGTGCGCGTTCATCGGTGGTCGTGCTAGACTTTTGGTTGCTTAATTAATTATTCACCCGCTCTCCTTAATTACGTCATTTACATGCCCTTGCTTTTTAAATAATTATCCTGAAAATTTTTGACTTGGGAACCGTGCTCTCCCCCTTTGTTGCAAGAAATAAGAAACGGAGGGGGTACAAAATTTGTTTATGTTTATCTTTACATTAGGTTTCTTGATCTGGTTGTTCTCAATTTCTCATGGTCTTTTCTGAAGTTCTTTTGATATCAATTTGCTCTTATTGTCTTGAGGGTCTGATAAGCCTTGGACTTTGTTTCTATATTTTTGCTCCTTGGCATTTTTAATAGAACTTTAAGCACTTACTGCTACTCTATCATTACGTGATGCATAAATCTTTCTTTCTTGGCACACTGTAATACAGTATAAATTTTAATGCTCACTCTTGTTCTAATCAAGTTAGCCGACATTAAATTATTTTGGGACTAAGGCTATGTTGTTGTACTCTTTCTATCGTTACCTGCATATAGCTAACAACTTGACACAATGGAAAACCAGATAACCTCAGCCAGTGGCTTGCAGTGAATTTCAATTGTTGGGCAGATATATGGACACAAAAGGCATGAGATTTTACTTAATCAAGCACTACAAGGACATATATATGTACCAAGATATCTGGTTCTCTTCAGTTATCACCAGATGATCTTAGGACATATATATGTCTAGATCCAACAAAGCTTGTTCATATGCTATGTTCTATTCAACTTTAATAAGTTGATAATACGGAGTAGCTTATTTTAGAATTAATAAGATCTTGTCTTTGGATATTTCTATCGTTGAATTTTTCATAATTTAAAAATTATGAAAATTCCATATTCGAAAAGTGCATATTAAGGAGGTATTATCCTTGTAAACAAACACACCTTTGTTCCCATCCTTCCTTCCTTATCCTGAGAAACAAACAGTCTTGTATATTTTGTATGGTGTGGCCACATTTATTTGTTGGTACTAATGTGTAATGAACAAGAGATTTGGTACTAATGTGATTTATTTAAAGACAATTTAATAGTACAACGTACAATATTAGGGTAATTGAAGACCCGAGCTATTTGAAGCTAAGAATTTCTCTGAAACACACCTTGTTTATTTATCTTTTATTGATTCGGGTCAAGCATTAGAGCTTACGATCTCTAACATGACACGACCGGAACCAGCACGTTATGAACATCAAATTACTAAGAGAAAATACGAAGCTGACACAAAACCAATCCGAACTCGACCTATTTTGATAAATTGATCAAATTATACAATTATCTTACATTTTACATACTTTTTGATACATTTTATGAATAAGAAATGAGGACGAGACCAAACATAAACACAACTTACGCTACCTTTATATGCAAGTAACCATTTATGTGCCTCTTGTGTTCATTGTTCATATGGATTGTGTTGTACAATTGTACAGTTGTGTGCTTGTGTGCAGGTAAAAATTTCATGTCACTTCGATTTTTGTCCAATTTTAATACCCCTCCGTCTCTAAATATAGTATCTATTTGACTTTTTACGGTTTCCAAAAAGCGTTTTAAAACGTTTATATCTCTATTTTCATACGTGGAAAAATTATAAAAACTTGATATTAATAATATATACAATGTGATGAATCCAACAAAATCCCACATGAACATATTATATCTTATAAAATAACGGGAATTTTTGGCCAAAGTTTGACCCAAATAAGTCAAATGAGAACTATATTTAGAGACAGAGGGAGTATGATCAATTAATTTTTGACAGCTCTTTGGAAACCAATAAAGTGTCGAAAATACTTTGGAATCGTAAAACAGTTACTTGTTTAGTTCACCTTATTTTTGCTTATCTGAACTTATCTGATCTGGTCTGATTTGATCTGATTGTCAGATTTGACCAAACTTTGACCTTAAGTGTACGATAATTTTTAAGGAAAAAAATATATTCCATATCAAATGGGTCTTGTTAGATTCATAATATTACGTATTTTATTAATATGTAATTTTCATAATTTTTCCATTACGAAATTAAAGATATTTAATGATAAAAAAAATTACACATAAAATGACGATATGATTATAACTTATTTTTTTTTTTATTTTTTCTAATTTAATTAGAATTTTTTTTTTCTCCGTAAAAATATGTTGAACCAAACTGAGACAGACAGAAGTCCTCACTCCTCGTCCTCGGTGCTCTACTGCGTCTCTTCGTCTTCTTTCCTACCCACTCTCTATGTCTGTTTATTCATCATCAAGCTTCTTCACTTTTCCAATGTCATTTCTCTGAAAATTCGATAAATTCATCATTAATGGAGAATTTACACCCTCACGCGACCTCCATTTCTCCTCTTTCAGAACAATGGAGGAGTTTGCAGAGCTCCTTCTCCTTGATTAAAACATCAATGGCGGACCGAGTCAAAGTAATCGAGTCAAAGGAGAGAGAAATCCTTCAAGCTGCTAAAACTCTCGAAAATTCCCTAAAAGAGGTCGAATTGCTGGAGAATTCCATCAACCAGAGGCTGAAAGAGGTGCAGATTAGAGAAGAGCAATTGAGTGAAAAAATCGACGCTTTTGAAGTTAAAGTGACGAAAATTGATGAAATTAGTAAGGAATTGGATGTGAAACGTTGCGAAATGGAGGAAATGAAAGCGACGATAATGGAGGAGAAAAAGGTGATGGAGGGAGAAATTGAAGAGCGTCGAAAAGTGGTGGAGGAGAGAGAAAATGAGATGGATGAACGATGTCGAGTGTTGGATTGCAGAGAGAAAGTATTGAATAAACGAAGCCAAGATTTGGTGATGAAATTCAAGGAATTTGATGAGCGACGGAAAGTTCTGGAGATGGAGGAGAGAGAATTGAGGGAGGGTTTACTGGAATTGAAGGCTAAGCAAAGCAAAGGTATTGTTTTTTTTTTACAAAAAATGGTATTTTTTTATCATAATGTGACCTTTTTTATGCTAATTTATTAATCTTTAGTATGTTCTGGTTTTCAATTGTTGATGCAGTTAATGGAGGAAGATTTGTTTACATTTTTACTAAATAGGGTTTTAGATAACTTATGGATACATTCAAATATGGACTATGGGTGGTTGTTGACTTGTTGATGATGGTGGTGTTTTTGACCTTTTGTGATGCTGTTGATGAAATTGATTTTATTTTTTTTTCTTTGATAGATTGTAGAGCTACACATGGCAATGATGTTCATGGGATTTGATCCAGATTAGACTTACCATATTTTGCTGATTGGCATCTATATCGATTGGCCATATGATCATACATTCATATCTGTTCGAGTTATATTGGGTTTCCTTTGATCCTCTGTGTTGGATTTATGGCAAAACTGCCAATGTTAATGGTTGTGGCAAAGGTCTAAGGTCATATATGATGCAGATATGTGACATGTTTATGAAAGTTAACATGTCAAAGATTAGAGATACTTGCCAGTTTGAACTAGCTATGCGAAACTGATCTTAATACTGTAATCCTGTTTGGTAAGAAATTAATACGACCTCCCCCCTTCCTTTTCTCCCGATGAAAGATAAGAGGAAGAAATCATACTAGTTTAGCTGTCCTGCTCAACAAGCCTGTTCTAAAATTTTCTTTTCTTGCTGTGTCTTCAGGAGTTTGTGATTTAGCCTCCTAATTATTTCACTAATGGGCCTAATGACTTAGCACATAGAGAAATGAAATTGTAACAAACTACTAACACAACCTATGACATTCAGCATTGTGTGTCTGTGTGTATCATTTGTCGATACCCTTGCTGAACTAGTATGACTTCGCTGGACTGCCAAAAATTTAAACACCTTTTGCTTTGTTCTAGATTTTGATGGGTTATGTTCTTGTTATTTTATACAGGATCCTAGATACATTTTTTAACATTCACATTATCTTTACATTTGATTTCTTAGTTTGGTAGTTGTCATGGTCTCTTTTGGAGTTCTTTTGATTTATCTTTGCTCTTTTAGCCTCAGTGTCTGATGACCCTTAGACATGGTTTCTATACCTTTGTCCCTTGGCACTTTTAATAGAACTTGAAGAGCTTACTGCTAGTTTGTCATTACTAATGCCCCTCGAACCCAGAGCTAGCTGGTTCTCCCTGCATACAGCTTCTCACTTGCACATAAGTATCTTTCTTTCTTGGCATGACGCCCTTTGTATAACTTTTAATGCTTTCTGTTGTATTACTTGCATAGAGCTTACAACTTATCAAGCAAAAACCAGAGAACTTCAGCCAGTGGCGTGCAGTGAGATTCAATTGTTGTGCAGAAATATGAACACAAATGGCATGATATCTTACCTAATTAAGCACTACAAGGACATACATATGATGCTTAGCAAGATTTCTGATTCTCTTCAGTTGGCACCAGATCCTGCAAAGCTTGTTCTTAATGTGATTCAAAGTTTTTACGAGCTGGTTAAGTCAGAAAATATGACTAGACAAGTTTACCTTGCTAGTTGCATAGCTTTGTCAGGAGCGTTGATGAAACTAAACACTAGTATCACGCTACATATTAAAGATGATGCGATGAAGTTCAGTATCATGTGGAGAGATTTTAGCGCTAAGCAGAGTTATACCCAGTCTCAGCTTATGGAGATTTTTGCCTTCCTGCAGTTCTTAGCTTCATACAAGTTAGCACAGTCTTATGATGAAGATGAACTTTTTTCACTTCTCGGGAACTTCTATACTGAGAGTGAGGTTCGTTGGCCCGAGAAAGACTCGTATTTGTGCCGGATATTGGGATTGAAGAAGAAAATTCCAGGTATGTTGAATCTCTACCTCTGTCCTCAATCTGAAAATTAATAGAATTGCAGCTTTATTCCTGTCAAAAGTTTCAGAACCCATCTATTGGAAGAGGGGTAACAAATACTCATATTGACCCCAAATTCATTTACATTTGAAAGATTGATATGCATTTACTATAATTTCTCTCTCTCTCCCTCCCACCCCCCCCCCCCCTCCTCTCTTCTTTAATTGCTTGTATACTTCCAATGGAAGTATGATGCATTGGCGAGATGGCTATTTCACTCGTAGAATTTAACTTACTTTGTTAGTTGTATGAGTTGGATATGGCCTTTTCCTCTAGAGTAAAAGAAGCTTCATCTAATTGAATAAGGATAATAATCATCCTTGCATATTGGACTAGGCGTACGTATCTTATGTAAATGACTAATGACTAGCTTGCTTCTACCCTTGTTATCATTTCATCCTTTGTATATACTTAAATACTTGCGTATATCTTTAAACAATTTTAAGCCTATTTAAAAGCAATTATAATAAATGAACTATTCAAGCTTTCTCCAAATATATTACAATCATCGTTGATGTCTTCATCTAGTTCAGATAGCAACTGTTAATAGCCTGACCTTGTAATATGTGTCATTTTATCCAGAATATCCATGCAGTTGCCTAGAAGCACCGTGTTGTGTAAATGTAGAAGTCCATAGCTCGACGCTTCTCTGCCTATACAAAAACATCATATCATTATAGAATTTGCTTTAATGAATTAATTTAAGCCAAGTTGCTCAATTGGTTGGATAAGCAGTTTTTAGTGCTTGTCTCTTATCTGCCTTATAACCATGTGTTTCCTCGATGATATTATTCTTTTGAACTGCAGCTGACATTTCTAGGTAAAATATGTTTTAAGTCTGAATTTTCTTTCACAGATTTGATTAATATTATCATAGCAAACTTCACTTAACCCTCCTTGCTTCCCGTTCACTTGGACTGAACTTTCAGAAGTTTAGTACTTCATTATACCTTTTTTTGTAAGCCTGTGATTATCTGAGTCACTGAGTCCATGCCAAGGTTTTTCTACTTTGCACAGGTTTTATCCGATCTCTTATTAATAGGGACGAGCAACTTCGAGCAGTTGTGTATATATGTGCATTCAAGTTGGAAGATGCTTTCCCACCAGTTCCCTTACTGAAATCCCATTTGGAATGCATCCAGAAGAGAGTGCAGGAAATGCTCAGAAATGGCAGTGATACAGCTCAGGTATAGTTGCTAAAATCATTCTATTTTCATACTCAGTATTTTTCGGCTCCTTCCTTGACTGCTTTTATTAGTAATTACTACGTATTAGATTTCCATTTATTACAGAATACAAAGCTGAAGTTCAACCTTATCTTTGATTGATCCTGTAATTTAAACTTGCTGCAGAATGACGCTGTCAATATGGAAATATCTGCCCTCAGAGTCTTAATCAACTGCATTTCCAATTTCAAGCTTGAGTCCAGTTTTTCACCAGCTCCTCTGGAATTGCGCATAAAGCAATTAGAGAAGGAGATAGAAGGAAAGGCGAGTGCTGAAAGCTAATGACAATAAAGAAGAATCAAAGTATAGGTTATTAACGCTACATATTATGCCGCTGAATTCAGTAATAGGATTGTCCAAGAAGCCGGGGAGTCTATCAGATTGCTTAGTTAAGGGGTTTGATACGATTTAACGAGGGAGTATATCCACCACAGTCTACAAGTTAGAGTAAATCATTGTTGATTGAGGAAATTAAAGGATATAAAGGGGTGGTTTTTTGGTTACGCTTGGACCTCAAAAGTTGTATTAGAGGGATTTTTATTGATACAATTGATAAGTTGTATGATGATTATCTCGATGTTGTGATGCATTATTATTATTTACTATAGCTCGTCGATGGCAACGGACAAAGTAAGGACTAGAAATCAAGGCGAGCCAATGCTTCGAGACAGCTTACATTGATGTGCTGATTTCACCGGTACTCAAACAAGAATCTCCGTTAATTTTTGTTGGTCTAAACTTTATACTTCGTAATATGGAGTATGTATTTATAAGGTTGTGTTTAGTTTACTTCATTTTTGCATATTTGATTTGATTTTTTTTTTAGACCTGATTGTCTGATTAGACTAATTATAACGTAAAAAAAAAATTAAAAAAAAAAAAATCTGCCGAAACCCACCGTTCTAGCCAAGCCCACCTACCGAAATCCACCATTTTTCCATGCCCAGCCACCGAAACATAAAAGACTTGGAGCAGCAACAATCAAGTAATCAACTATGAAAGTGATGCCTTCTTAATTTTTTTTTTTTCTTTTAGAAATGCAATAAAAAAATCCCCTCAAAAAAGAAATGCAATAAAAAAATAAAGAGTATGTGAAATTGTGAATGGTCGAATTGAGGAAAAGGTGTTATAGATATGGTGGGGGTAGACAAAGGTAAAGCATATTAATTACAGCAATTAATTAATTAAAATTCTAATTCCTTAAAAATAGTAAGAAGGTAAGGCTACAGCCTGCGATTAAAGTCAAGAGGCCTCATAGCAAAACAAAACCAACACTTCCAAAATCATTTAAGTAAAACAAAGGCAAAAAAGCTCCGATCAGCTTCTAACAACAATGGAGATTCCTTTTGATTGTCATTCTGGAAAGTTGTTTAGGAGATGGTAAGGGGGATAGATAAAGATGAAAAATAAAAGAAAAAGAATGAAAAAAAAAGAAGCTTTTAACCATCATCAGAGGTAATTGGTAAAGAAAACTATTTTGAGAAGGGTCACCCAATAGTTAGGATTATTCTAGGTTAAATAATTATAGTTAGGATTAAAATGAGAAGAAAGTCAATAGCTGGAATTATTCTTGTTAAATTTTCCTATTTTTTTCAATATATATGTACTTTACAATACATAACAATACATAACTTTTACATTACAAAACAATACACGACATGTACCGCAGACTCTCCCATGTATTAATTGAGGAGGATTTCTAATCAATAACTACCCGATCTTATTCGACATTAATCAATAATGATGGTGTCATATTAACTTCACCTTTTTTCTTTTTATAAAAAAATAATTTTAACTAAATATTTCTCCATAATAAATTCAAACAAGTTCGAAAAAATAAATTAAAATAAGTGTAAGAAAAATAAATAAATTAATACGGTTCATCTAATTTACAATTAAAATTCCCTAAAAAAAATTACAACTACAAGTTTAGATAAAATTTTTAAATTAGATAATCTCATTTTATTTTATTTTTTTTTGAACAAGAGATAATTTCATTTAAAATCTTATGTTAATCAAAGTTATCCTAAATAGATATTTTTACCTTAAAATTTCCTTTTTTATACTATTTAATTTTATTACGAGTAACTTTTTTTAAAGGGGTTAATTAATGGTAAGATTTGTAATTTTAAACCCTCCTAGCTCACTGCCATATCCACCCTATAATTAAAGAAACAAATCAAAACATCTGTAAGAAAATCTTTACATTAAAATCATCAAGTAAAATTTGGAAACTTGTTCTTCACTTTCCATAAATAAAACCCAAAAAATAATCTTAAAAATGGAAACTTGATTTTCACGCATAACAATTCATTCCTTATAAATATTACCATATCTCTTCCTTCCATCTGAAATTCTCACTTCAAACAAAAATATAAGATCAAATTAGAAATTCTCGTTTAATTGCAGAAAATTCGCGTTTTTAATTCTTGAAAATTTTAGGGTTTTTAATTTTCAAGAACAACAATAATTTCTATTACGAATCAAACAATGAACGATCTTCGAGTCGCGAAGTTGTTAATGCTGAAACTCGGCGAAACGTTTCAAGATTTCCAGGCGAAATCTTTTTCAATGCTTGCTCTTACAGAACAATGGCGAACATTGCAGGCATCTTTCGCAAAGGTGAACAAATCGATCGAGGAGCGAGTCAAGGAGGTGGAGTCAAAGGAGAGAGAAAATGATTTTACTCGAACATCGCTTCAGAATTACAAGAAGGGAGTTGAAATTAGGGCTAAGAAATTGGAGTTCGATGAGAGTTGGTTGAGTCGAAGAATCGAAGGGGTTGAGTTGGGGGAGAAGCAGATTAAGGATTGGTATGAGTCGATTGAGTTGGAGAAGAGAGTTATTCAAGATCGGATTAAGGCGGTGGAGGTTATGGAAAAGAGATTTAAGGAGGGGTTCGAGAAGGTTAAGGTTGTCGAGGAGAGGATAAAGAAGGTGGAGGAGCGAGAGCGGGAGGTGGCCGTACGCGAAGAGGCGTGTAGTGTGAGGGAGAAGGAAGAGATGGAGGATATGGATGAATTGTATAGTGTTTTGTTGGTTAAGGAGAAGGAGATTAATGAGACTACGAGAGTTTTGGGGTCGAAACGGAAGGAAATCGAGGCGGGTTGGGAAATGTTTAGGGAGAAAGAGAAGGAGTTTAAGGAGCAATGCTTGTCGATGGAGTCGGAATCGAAGCAATTGAATGAGAAAAGCGAGGAATTGGAGTTGAAAGAGAAGGAGGTTAAGGAGCAATGTTTGTCGATGGAGTCGGAGTTAAAGCGATTGAAGGAGAAAAGCGAGGAATTGGAGTTAAAGGAGAAGGAGATGAAGGAGCGATTCTTGTCGATGGAGTTGGAATCGAAGCGATTGAGGGAGCGAAGTGAGGTATTGGAGTTAAAAGAGAAGGAGATTAAGGAACAATGCTTGTCGATGGAGTTGGAATCGAAGAGATTGAAGGAGCAAAGCGAGGAGTTGGAGTTGAAGGAGATTAAGGAGCGATGTTTGTCGATGGAGTTGGAATCGAAGCGATTGAAGGAGCAAAGCGAGGAGTTGGAGTTGAAAGAGAAGGAGATCGATCAACGAATGGAATCGAAAGAGAATCAAGTGAACAAGCGTGTAGAATTGAAAGAGAAGGAACTCGAGATGAAAGAGAAGCAAGTGAATAGGCGACTCGAAACGAAAGAGAAGCAAGTGAACAAGCGACTCAAATCGAAGGAGAAGCGGCTTGAAGAGCGTTGTAGGCAGATTGAAGTCAAGGAGAAGGAGATTAATGAGAGATTGGTGGCAATGCAAGCGAAACAGAAGCAAAATGGTAGAAAAAGAAGACGTTCTTCATACTAAGGCCATTTGATTAAGTATAGTGTAATTTGGAGCACTTCTTTTGTCTATTCTTTTCAACTATTGTACTGTCAGATTATCAAAGTATATTGTTATTATCAACTATTAATATGCTAATAAGTGTGTTATCAACCATTGATATACTAATAAGTGTAGAGTATCCAAGTATTAAGCGTGGTAGTCTCTAACATGTGAAAAACGGGCAAAATAAATACTTGTAGGAATTACTCTTATTAATTTCAAGACTTTTTATCATTAAACTAACTGATAATGGGTAAATTGAAAAACTTGGTCAAAATTTGAAGTAATTATAACAATCAAATTGAATTGAAAATTGAAATTTTGTATAGTCTTCTTTTCTGATCATTTTCAAAGTGTAATTTTTTCATATATTTCTACACCAATGAAAATTCACAGACATAAAGATAGATTATTTGGAAATACGGATCAAAATCAACTTGTAAACAGAAATAACCTCGGCTTCAATATCTTATATTCTTGTGATTGAGTATACTTCCACGGAGTAATGAAGATATACTTCCAAAATCCTATAAATTTAATCCGGTATCAATGACATCAATTAATTAAGAAAATTAGTATTTAGCCCATGCAATGCACGGGTTAAATTTTTTGAAAAAATATATTTTTAACTTTTTTTAATTTAATGGTTGATGTATCATATATTAAGGTTAGTTGTGGATTGGATTTAAGCCAAAATATGTACTCTACTCGTTCTTATTTAAGTGCCCCAATTCGATTTTGTCACTATTCATATGCATCACTTTGACCAATACAATGTTTGTGCTTTATACATAAGTTAAAATATAATCAAATAATACTTGTTGGATATTAATAAACACATTAGTCAACTTCTGCGAGTCTGCAATCCCAAAGAAAAAGATAGGACATCCCAAATACTTAAGTAGTAACAGAATTGAACGGATGAACCTATCAAATGCCAAATACTTATGTACTTCGTATGTGTTGTAAGAAAACAGGGGAATTGGAGAACATTAGGTTTTGGTGAATATTTTTGTTAAGAAATTTTCCTTAATATTTTCCATGCCTTGTCATTCCAATTCACCGTCCATGTGTACAAGTGATAACAAAATAAAGCGTAACAAAATTGGTATATGAATATACATTCACAAAAATTATTACCAACAAATTATAGAGAAACATATCTTTGATTTCGTAATATCAATCACAAAAATGGTAAATTAGTATAGAATAATACATACAAACTGTATATTCGATTCTCCCATCAACCCCATTATTAGTAATCAAGAACACAAAGATTTTTTGTTTAAAATTTGAGGAAGAAGGAAAACCAAAGGCCCAAAAAAAACGAATGACATGAAAAAGAATGATGGACAATCAAAGGAAAAGAAATAAAAGATAAAATTTAAAAAAAAAAAAGGTAACGCTTCAATTAAATAAATAAATAAAGTGGAATGGGACACGTGGCAAATTGTGTGTAAGAGTTCTTGTTAATAAATATTAGTATTGACTATGTTAGAATACATAAATTCTATTTTTATAATTTGTATATTTAAAAAAAAATGGATCAAAATAATTAAGAATTATGCCAAAAATATTTGTAATTTTAAAATTTTAGATTTTCATCACAATTATGATTATAATAACTGTTCAACATCGTCTAATATATATTTCAATGTAGGAGTCCATTCATTAGTGTGCTATTTATAATTGTTTCATATTTTTTTTTTTTGGTAAATTGATAGGCTGAAATTGTAATGTGGAAGCTTCTAACATTCAAATTTTAAAATTGTTAAATATGGTAGCTCCAAAAAAAAAATGAAATCATCCTTGCATTTAGACGGAATTTTTTTTTTTTATATAAGAGTGACATGTGAACCGTGATAACCTCAGCAACGTTCTGTTTTAGTAATAGTTAATTGATATTGAAATTGATTCTCGAAGCCTCTTAAATAACCTTACTCCTTAGGTGGGCAATTTGGAAAAAGTAACACACGCCCAAAAAAAACAAAAAAAAAAAAAAAAAAAAAAAAAGCATTAAAATTTGATCGACTTGAATAAAGTTTATTGTGAAGCTAAGAATTCAAATTCCTCTTAACATTTTATATATATATATATATATATATATATATATATATATATATATATATATATATATATATATTTTTAAAAATTAATTAAAGCAAACATGGATTATATAGGTATTGATTCATCACACTTATTATTTTACAAAACTTCAAAATACAATTAATTTTTTCTCTTCATTTATGTTTCCTTACTATCCAATATGTCTAATTATTGTGATACCTGATAATTATAAGTAGGAAAAAGCTAATGGGTGTTAGATAAGAGAATCAAAAGTGAAAATATCAAATTATAAATTACACAAATTAACGCGTGACTTTGGCATGCATTCCAAACTTAATAGTTTCTTCGTTTTATAATACTTGTAACACTTCTCTAAAATAGAATTATATGTCACAGTATTTGCAACACATTATAATTGAAAAGTATATATATATATATATATATATATATATATATATATATATATATATATATATATATATATATATATATATATATATTTAACAGTTGTACTATTATCCTTATTTTAATCTCATGACCCACTAATTATACCCCTAACAATCTAATACCGTGAAAAAGTGTGTTGTAAGTATTAAAAAACGGAAGTAGTACTATTTTAGATAATGTATTTAAGTAGTTGTCTAACGCCCTGCATGTTAACCGAGGATTGTTATATACATCAGGGTGCATCGTACATTGTTTTTCATAAATCATTTAATGAAAAAAAAGGTAAATTTAAGTATCTAAACTCATACCTCAAACCCACAAAATATGGGTGTAGATTGTAGAATTCAACGGGCAAATACAATCTTCATCAAAACCAAGCACATGGTATAAAGAATCAAGTTAAACTCCATGCCATCTCGATATCATTCCATATACCTGCTCAAACCACTTTACAAACCAAACCTTCTCTTTTCTCTTAGATATTAGTATACATCAACTAGAATAATTTGATGTTCATATAATATTTAAAAAGTTCAAATAATTATTAAAAAATTAAATAAAAATAAAAAATAAACCGATCTTAATATATAATAATATGATTTAAATCACACTTTCAAAAGTCAAACTGCATGTACGTACCTGAATTTTAAAAATAATTGTTTCACATAAAATCACAATCATGAACAATCCTTGTAGACAAAAATTATAACTGTGTTTTTATTAGATCTGTGTGTAAACTATAAATTATATACGCAAAATATGGTTTTATTGATACCTTGTGAGTTACAACTCTCAAAGAGGGGACAGAGTCTTTGACTTATTCCATCTAAACCTCTACAAAACCCTAGAAACAGTCTTCTTTATATAGAGAGAGGCGTAGATTAGAAAACATGATAATTATCAAATAATCTACAAGATCTCAAAGATATTATCATATAATTTTAAATCTTTATTTACACTGGGGAACCTCCTTTGAAAAAATTGTGAAATGCCCCTAGAAAAAACCTAAGTTGTGATTCCATGATAGATTTTAAAAAAAAAAAAAAATCCTTGGTTGGATGGGTCGTTTGACTGTATTTGTTTCCACTTATCAAGTACTCCCTCCGTTTTTAAATACTTGCTCCATTTCTCCTGGGCATGTATGTCGATGCTAATTTTTGATCAATAATATCTTTAATTATCAATAAGTATAAGTTCTAACGATTCATTGAGATGATTTCAACAAGTACCTAAAAGACTATATTTTTTCTTATGTATAAATCACAAACAAAAAGTAGGACAAATGAATAGTGCAAAAAGTAGAAATGAAGCAAGAATTTAAAAACGGGGAGTATATATGATACAATTTTGTTTTGTTTTTTTTTTTTTTGACAAATATAATACAATCATACAATATGAAAAAAAAAAAAAAAAAACACTAATCTTGAAAATCTATAATAATAAGACAATGATTGCACAAAATTATATCTATCTTAAACCTTTGACAAGAAGGTAATAATACTATATTAGTTTTTAGATAAAAATTTGTAAATAAATAATAATAAAAAAAATTCACAACTTTAACATCATAAAATACTAGGTTAGGTGTCGTATCAGTGTATCACGCACCATATATTATAATATTCATTATTAATTTTTCTTTATATTTAATTAAAAAGAATTGAAAATTATTTTAAAATGTTAGTCACTACAGTAACATATATTTTTTTTAAAAGAAAAAAGATAAAAAAAAAATAGCATTAACATTTATCTCATGTGTCTTTTAATTCTTAATTTCTATAGGAATTACAATCCTTTTGTTGTATTGTATATGATAAATATATAGTAGAAGAAGTTTCCTCAAAAAAATACTAAATAGTAGAAGAAGATGATACAAATAATGTTTTATTTGCCTAATTAAGTGATTCTTGTCAAGTAACTGAAGATTATATTCTTAAAAAAAGTATTTTCAAAGATTGCATTTCTTTAAGTAATTATATGTTGCCAAAACACATCCCTTAGATAGTCGCATATCCATTTTTAGAATGAAAAAGATCATTACTTATTTTATACGCTTCAGTATGACAATTATTATTATTTAATAATTTTCTAAAATAAAAGTTTTATAGGAGGAGTTTTATTTCTTAAAAATAAAAAAAAAAATAAAAAAAAACCTATGGACATACCAGAAAATAAGGAGTATCATTCCTGGTGTGTCTTTTAGTATATAGTTATTGATTGATATTTTAAAACTTTCTCAAAACAAAATATATTTTAAAAAATATCGCGAAAATAGGTTTAAGTCAACTAGGGTGAACAAAGTTACAAAGGTGGTTATTTAAAAAAAAAAAAAAATTACAAAGGTGGCACATGAAAGGATCAAGATATGACTAACAAAATTCCAAGAATCACTTTCTTTAACATCTACTAGTAAAGTAGTAATAGGGATGTCATGCACCAATTAATATGAATCATACGAGTAGTTAATT